GGGAGGCTAGTAATTTTGTAAATCAAAAAAGAAAACAAACTTGTTATGCCTTGCCTCTATGGCAAGATTCGAACACGAAAACAAAGTGCGAAGAAAAGAATTAAAACCGGAAAAAAAATGGAATCCACCTCTTTTTGGAATCCGGAATCCACTGTGCTGGAATCCGGAATCCAGTACCTGGGATCCGGAATCCGCAGCATGGAATTCAGAATCCAAGACTGTCCTGCATTCCCTTACATGGGGCGAGAAGCGGTAGTCTACAGCGACTCTCAAACCGATATGCATGTACGTTGAATTCTGTAAACCAAACATGTATGTAACTGAGTTTCAATAACAGACCCATGACATGTATCCGTTGTAATTTTCACTGAAAATATACTGATAATAAAATATCTTTATGTTCCCCAATCTTGACTTAGAAAGTTAAATAAAGACCTGGCTTATAGCGGTATTGCTTGCAAATTAAAATACAGTTTAATTTGCGTGCCATTGTTTACAAGTACTGTAAACCACGTTCGAGAGCCGCGGAAATCATGCCTGCATAAGCTGAGAATAACCTTTGAAGATGGATCTCAGCTATAAAACAACGATTTAACAATTTCTGGAAGAATCTGGAAATTGAAATGATTGTTCAATACGTAAGCGAGTTTGCTGTTAATCATATTGACGACTCGAAACTCACCTTTTGAGTGTCACTTAAACCAAAGACTTTCCTTATTTCTTTATTATTTGGAATTATTAAGGCTAAAGAATTGAAGAAAACAATACAAACGACAAAATAATAAGTCCATCGAAACGTATCTGGAGTACCACTGTTAGAAATATGCCGAGTAGTCATTCTATAAATAGACTTTTTGTTTACGTAGATTATGCAAATGAGTTATCACCTACCTTCAAATCTGTTATGTTTGCTAGCGTGCGTTCAAACTGCCCAGATTTCTTCTTTCAGATCTTGATAGAAGAAGGCCAAAGGACTATCTCAATATTAATTTCGACTCGATATCGGGCATACCAAGATCTCGTAAAAATACGCAACTTTTACAGTTTCCATAGGAGCTTGAAAAGGCAATTCTTTGACAGTCGACGGAGCCCTTCATAATACTTGAAAAAATTAAAACTTCCTAGTGTTAGATAGAAGAAAGGTGAAGCTCTTATGCTAAGTTTATCCCGTGTTCTAAAATTGTAAATTGTCGTCAATTTTCCCGATATTTTTTGCATATTTAATGAGGTAAAAAGGTGTATTTTTGTTTTTTGCGAATTTCTCGAAGGCGTTGAATTCTTAGAAAATCGGAATAACATTTTCGATGATAGCTCCCTAAAAGCGTTCTTGAGGCAAAGTTTCAGGGTTTTCGATTTTTCGAACCTGTCCAGCGATTCTCGATATTTGGAGTCAGTGACTCTTAGAAGCCTTTCCAGGCTTATTTGGAAGATCCTCGTTACTAACTGATAAGGCTGAAAAACGCTGGCGATGTATGACATTATGTTCCCCCGTTTTTCTAAGAGGTGATTAAGGGCGTTTTCCTGATCCTTTGCCCCGTCCTGTCAAACTTGGGAGAGCTGATCTTTTTCAAACGTAAGCTGACAGGATTGAATAGATGGGTGTTCACTAACAATGTAAGAGTAAGGCTTTATTCTGAGCTGATCATTTTACTGCATAATGAATCTGGTTTACGAAACGGACTTGAGATCCTCAGAATGCAGGCAAATTCGAGGGTCGTGAAGGGGGGTACCAAATCCCACTTCCCTGCCTAAATTTGGCCCAAATCCCAGTTCCCAGGCTAATTTT